CAAAAGCGACGAAAGAAGTGGTGGAGGTCCAGAGTTCCATTTGTAAACCCCGCATCGGAGGCTTGCGGGTGTTCAGGGCCTGGGCAAACGCAGAAGGCACGATGGATTGTCCTTCCAACACAAGCGAAGTCCGTGACCCACGGGGTGCTGTGTGGAAACAACCCTTGGCAATTGAATTGCCAGCTGAGAACAATGCCTTGTGGGCTTCGGTAGGATGGAAGCATGGCTACCTGAATGTTGTGGAAGTGTGTGAGCAAGTAAGTCTAAATGCAAAAACCCACCAAGTATACCTTTTTTTAATCGTGCTGTTGCGAGCGCCTGTGTTTCCAGGAGTGGTTGATGGCACTTGACATTGGTGACATTGGTGCAGTGGGTTTTGGTTGATATCCTCCGAGATTCTGAAAGGCACAAAACCACTGCTGCGCGGCCGGCGCCTCATGGCCCCTCCGTGCAGTGCCCGGCACACGAAATGCTGCTGCGGTGCTGCCTGCATGAGTGCTCAAGAATTGCTTTCATCCTTCCAGAAAGGTGCACCACAAACGACAAAGGCAGTCGGTCCATACCTCCGGATGCAGAACTGTTTAAAACCTATTTGCACACGTCGTGCTCTACTGGCATCGATGTGGCGCACAGTGAATCCAGTTGGTCGGAGCTGCTCTTCAATGTTAAACCCACCGAACAATCCATTGTTCATCACGACTGTAACAGCCACAGACCACCGATTTCGAAACCTAAAACGGGACACTGCAAGCAGTTGGGTGAAGAGAACGCGGAGAACCACAGTGTATCGTGCGCAATATGGCCGCGTAACCACTTGGAAATTGTTGGTCTATCAGGCTACTAACTACGCAATTCCCCTTCCATAATAACAGGTGGATGCCAGGGGGGGTGGGTCTCGTTGCCACCTATTTTGAAGCGGTGGCGCGGCTTATTTGGCCTATTTTGGAAGACTGACCACTCTAACCCAATAGGCGGCAGATATAGGCTTTTGGGTTTGCCGCAGGCTTCAATCATCGGGACAGTGAATTGAGCTCGGGCGGTTGCTTGCTCAGGATGCACGGCTTCGGGCTGTCGGTATCGGGCTAGTGCAAGCTCTGTGGAGGGTTTCCAGTAGTTTGGTGTCTCTGCAGCCTAATACTCCAAGCTCTAATCCCTTGAACGAGACCCTAAACCCAGAAACCCTAAACCCTCTTTCGACTAAAGCCGCCCCTAAACCCAGAAACGTTCAGAAACCCCAAACTTTTGGACTCATAAACACCCAAACCCCTCGAACTCTAAACCCGTATACAGGACGGGGAGCCGTGGGCTGAGGCTTTTGGGGCGATGTTCAGCCTGCGTAGCTCTGGTACACTTTACAATCTTTCGTTTTTTCGAGAAGACTCGTTCCCACCCCACTCAAGACATACCCCCCAGCCGAAGCAGGTGCCACATATTCGCTGCCCCGACCCCAACCCCCCCCCCCTTAGGGGGAATCCCCGCGGCTCCACACCACAACGGCGCAAACCGCAATGTGTTTCCAGCCCAAAATCGGTTGCGTTCTTTGGGGCACGGAATTTCGGTTGCTGCCAGCTTCCAAAAAAGGTTTTAGGCCTTGTGGCAGGAACTTTCACTGAGTTTATAGGGCTTTGGGTTAGGAAATATGGAGATTTCAAGTAATTTTGGGAGGCGGAAGCCCTAGCACAATTTTGTTTAGGACATTTTGGACATTCGACGTTGAATAGTACCGAAAGAATCCCAAATATATTTTGGAAAGCCGAACCCTTAATTCTTTGACGGCCAAAAATATGCAAAATCATTTTTCTCCCAGAAATGCAAGTTTTTGTAATTAAACCGCGCTCCCCCGCACTCCCCCGCACTCCTCCGCACTCCTCCGCACTCCGCCCCCGCACTCCCCCGCGCTCCCCCGCACTCCTCCGCACTTCGCCCCCGCACTCCCCCGCACTCCCCCGCACTCCCCCGCACTCCTCCGCATTCCCCAAAATTAAAAAAAACAGAAACCAATATTTTGATGCTTTCAGGAATATTTCCGGTATATTCAGGTGCACAAAATGTCGAAATAATTGGCAGGAAGGCCAAAACACGCTCCAAAGGCTTGAAAAAGCCAAAAAGAATTCGTCGACATTCCAAGCATGCTCCAACACGCACAAAACAGCTCAAAGACATACGAAACCAGGTAGAACTGCAAGGAAAGCAAGCGAAAACCGTGCCAGACGCTGAAGCACCAAATCCAAAAGTGATTTAGTCATAGCGATGTGTTCAATCAGCTATGGGGCTTTGGGCTTTGGGGCCAATCGAACCCACGGTCTCAGCTAACCACAGTTTTCGGAGTTTCCGACACATATCGAGTTTGAACGAAACCGAGCGTCAACCCCAACTGCTCAAAAGCAACGCTCGATTCTTGGAATAAAAGACCATCTGCGGATCATGCCATGCTGTCGAGATCCAGCGTCGTGAATTGCAGGCCTTCTGCGCTGCTTTGTAGTCCAATGTAGGCCACGAGAGTTTCGATACCGTGCCATGGTCTTATCATGCCTTCAAGGATCAGCGCGGCAACTGTTCGCATTTTCTCGTTACATCCTCAACCGGTTGCTGAAACTTTTGGCCTAAGAACGCAGTCGACAGTGTGTACAGTTGTTTTGCATCTCAAATTTTTCATACATAATGCGCAAAGTAAAAGTTTTGCTTTAATGGCTTGGTGAAATGCTCGACCTGGAACATGGTGACAGTCCGCTTGTCAAGTTTTCAAAAAAACACAAATCTGGTGGTCTGCCGCTACTTGATACCCGGTGCATGTTAATTGGCCCCTGCTTCCGTCATGGATGTCGATTCCCCCTACCAGAAGGGGGGGTGGGGGGTGGGCAGCAAATACGTGTATCTGTTTTGGCTCGGGGGTACGTCTCGGGCGGGGAGTGTGTGAACGAGTCTTTTTGGAAAAAGCCAGGGATTTTAAAGTGTGCCAGAGCTTTGCAGGTTTAAAGTCGCCCCAAAGGCCGCAGCCCACGGCTCCCCGTCACATATACGGGTTTAGAGTTCGAGGGGTTTGGGTGTTTATGAGTTCAAAGGTTTTGGGTTTCTGAATTGAATGTTTCTGGGTTTAGGGGCGGTTTTAGTCGAAACAAGGTTTAGGGTTTCTGGGTTTAGGGTTTCGTTCAAAGGATTAGAGCTTGGAGCTTAAGTTGCAGAGACACCAACCTACCGGAAACCCGCCACAGAGCTTGCACTAGCTCGATACCGACAGCCCGAAGCCATGAATCCTGAGCAAGCAACCGCCCGAGCTCAATTATCTGTCCCGATGATTGAGGCTTGCAGCAAACCCAAAAAGCCTATATCTGCCACCTATTGCTTTAGAGTGGTCAGTGTTTCAAAATAGGCTAAACAGGCCGCGCCACCGATTCAAAGCAGGTGGCACCGACACCCATTTCCCCGAGCATCCACCTACTGTTAGGAAGGGAATGATGTCGTCAAGCACCACACTTCAGCAAAGCAGCAGCAATGCTGATTAGCATGCGGGCTGGGCCTTATTCTCCATTTCGGGACTTGGTGGACATTGGTAGACAAGCAATCTCAAGCATCAATGCCACTTGACGTCAAACGCGGCTGTAGTCGTGTGTTGTCAAATATACACAATGTTTCAGCAGACAACCACCAAACTGCCCTATCCAATTGCTAATTACGTGAGATCTGTCTGTCATGAAATCTTCAAACGCCCAGCTTTTGCCTCAGAGGGTTGCTGGCAGACCTAGTTTTTTGCATGGACCCACGCACATACACTGTGAGCAAGAGCTTTCTCATCCACATTGCCAGGGATGGTTGGAGCTTTCCTATGCATTTGGTCCAATGTCATAAGACGGGGCGAAGAAGCGCACGGGGGATAGATGTGGTCATGTGTTTTCGATTTTAAGGTATTTCACGGCCCGAATGCTGCGAACTGACACCCAAACGCAGGACCCGTGAGTTTTACCACCAACTGTAGACCCAAGTCTAGGAGAAAATGCATTTCCACAGAAGGATGGGTCTGCAAGTGTTGCAGCAGTGGCCAGGGATGGGGAATTTTCGGGTTTAGGTGATCCGGATGCGAGTCGAACCTGGGTTGGCGACAAGCGTGGCTCAGCCCCAGCCCCGCCGTGTGGCACATCATCGGTTTTGGAGGCGGCCGAATTGTCCGTTTGGGGTGCAGGAAGCCCAATTCCGCCAGCGCCCCCAGGGTCGGTTTTGGGGACGGCCGAATTGTCCGTTTTGGACACAGGATCCCCAATTCCGCCTTTGCCCCAGTGCAGCCCAGGGAAGGTTACGGATAAGGCTAGCCCTGAGGTGAGACCCAGCTGCAACCGTGATCAGGAGATGGAGGCCCGGGAACTTTGTGAGGCCATCGGCGAGCTTTTGCAGCCTCTCAAGCGAGAACAAGATGTGCCAAGAGAGGTCGAAGGAAAACTGGTTGTTTTGATTGAGAAGCTGGAAAAGTCCGCGCAAGAACACAGCCCACTTTGGGATCTAGGATTTTCCGTTTGTGAAGCCTTGGTTGATCCTTTGCATGCTTTGGAAACAGCCCAAGAATTTTGTGCAAACTTGCTTGCTAGGCCGTCTGTATAGTGCGTGCACAGTAATGACAGTTGGCGAAAACCCGCTGTCTTTTCCTCTCGAGTGCTTCTTTGGGCAGTAAATCCTAGCATGGATGCCTCACACGCTGCCTTGGGATTGAGTGGATTGGTCGTTGGCTGGTGGATCTCGGCATCCAAACCGCCAAAGGCGGAACCTAACGTCTGTCATTGTCAGTGTGCTTGGGCTGCCGGAGCTGAACAGTCTTCTAGGGATTCTTTATCCTTCTGGGTGGTTCTTCTCTTTGGGCTGGTGCTCGTGGGCACAAATCTGGCATTGGTCTTCAGGGTCACGTTCCAACAAGCAGAGGGAGGCGGCAGAGAGATCACTTTCTCTGTTAAGGGGAAACCTGGCAAGGGAATCTTCGGAGCCTCAAAGGGCATACAACTTGTTGACCAATAGATATGAATGCTGGAGACGTGGTCTATGTGCAGTACCATGCAGATCCGGGAGTTTTCCATACTAGGTTGCTGGCGGATCAGGTGGATGGAGATGAATGGATGATCATTACCCCGGACCGGGACATCTACCCTGAACTTATGGATCCATCCAATGGGGATTTCAGCCGAATGTATCATGCGTCAGATGGTAGGGTGCCTAGACAGGTGCCAGTCAATCAGGTGTATTCTTTTGCGCCAATGGATGCCAGGCAATATGGAGATCTCTTGAGGGCCGGAAGGCAAGCAGCCGCCGCCGAGAGGGCACGACGAGGCCTTAACGTGGCGGCTCCTCCGGCTGTACCTGGCCCGGCCCCTGCCGTTCAAGGGGCGGCAGCTGCAGTGGCTGCCGGTGGAGCGGTACCCCCATTGCCTGGAGGCGGTCCCACGACATGGGTTGCCCTCGAAGACGGGGACAACATCAAACGTGGAGATGTCCTTGCCGTGGATCCTGGACCTCTTCCACTCGGCCATGTCATCATGGGCACTCGGGCACTGGTGCCTTCCGGGACGGATTTCATCACCGCAAAAAAGGTGCTCCCAGATCAGGTGCCGCTTCTCAGGTTCGACGATATCAGGGTGTTACCGGTGCAGTTCGATGCGCAGGGGATTCGACGGAGGGAGTTCAATAGCGCCGCCTCTTTGCTACATGACACAGTTCCTCAAGGTGGGGGCCTCCAGTTGCAAGGCCCGGCGTCACTGATCAACGTGGTCAAGATGATGCGTGATCAAAACTTCACCCCGGCGACCTTCCATGAGTACTGGATCCGATCATCTGAACTGGCCAAGGGGGATCGTTCCGTGTATGAACATGAATGTTTATCCCGGATCCTTGAGTCGATGCTGACTGTCGATCAGCTCAATGCTCCGGTCCTACAATCGGCTGAACTCCTGGTGCGCCGGATGCAGGTGATTAGGGAGGCACACAGAATCTCGCCATCGGCCCCGGACTACTCCGCGGCCGACTTGTTCATGGGATGGAAGTATCGCAGATCTGGGCAAGGAGTCGATGCAGGCTTAGCGGCACATGTGGCTACGGAGCTGAAGAACGAAGCAGCGATCTCCAAAGAGGCCCGGAAAGCCAGGGAAGAAGCAGACCTTAGGCGCCGTAACCCACGAAAGCCTCCGAAAGGAGGCGGAGATGGGGGAGGCGCCACCCATACATGAAGCACGTGGTGGCACCTGCTGGGGGCGCGGGTGCCAGGAACCGTTTTCCAGCCCCCCATGGCCCGGATGGATCTAAGGTTGCCTGGGCCAGCAATTCAGGACTTGGTTCGCAGTCGAAGGGTTTTTTAAGTTTTGGGGGCAGCGATAGGCATAGAGACCTTTTTCCTTTGCCCCACATTGCCGAGCGAGCTCCTGCAGCGCAATCTTTGAGCTGTTCACAGAGACGTCGGGCTGCCCGCTTCAATGGCCGGGCTCGTATGGCAAATGACATCTTGGGCACCCTGAACGACATGTATGCTCCAGCCGGGTCCTTATCGTGCACGACGGCCCCCCCGACTTCAGCCCAATCTGAGGTGCAGAGAGAGCTGTTAAGACAGGTGGGTTCGATCTCAAGTGACATTCCTATGTACAGTGAGCGTGAGGCGACAAGAACGCTTCTGCAATCCAGCCTCTCCTACTCGGAGGAGGCACAAACGACAGTCCGTCCTTACAACCCCGACTTAGTCTCTCTGCCCAAGGTGGGGTCCAGCCCGCCTCCACTTCGGGACCTGGTGGACGACTTTGGTCGTGATATCTTGGAGGACCCGGTGGGGAACATGATGATCTCAGCCGATGAATGGGGCACGAAGGTAGAGAGTGGCAGCGTGGTGCAACCATACATGGACATCGTCCTAAAGAATGACAATGGAAAGTATGTGCAGTTTGTTCACAAGCTCTTCTTGGGGGGCATGATTTCTTTCACGGATAGCCCTCAGGACCTTATCACGCCCTTCTTTGTCGCAAAGAAAAGTGGCAAGCTCAGATTAGTTTTGGACTGCCGTGGTGTAAATCAGCGATTCAAGCAACCTCCCTCAATGATGATGGCGGCCGGAGCGTCGTGGGCACAGGTGGAAATTCCCAACAATGAGTCTCTCTATATTGCACAAAGTGATATCACAGACTATTTCTACTCCCTGGAACTACCCGGCGAACTTCGGTCGTATTTCAGTTTACCTGCCATTCCCTATGAGGCTTTGGATGCTTGGGGTGTTCCGGTCCAAGATCGCCCTCCTCATGGCCGCGAAGGACTGATCTTCCCAAGCTTCAGGGTCATCCCGATGGGTTGGAGCTGGGCCATGTATTGGGCTCAAAGAGTCCATCAGCTCCAAGCACTACGGGGTGCAGGTTTAACATCAGAGCGGCTGCTGGTCTCTGGCAAACCGGCGCCATCCTTAGAGGATGGCACGCCGTTGGTGATTGCATACGCCGATAACTTGAACATCGCGGGCACATGTCCAGAAAGGGTGCAAGCTGCGAAAGATGGTGCCGTATCACACCTTAGGTCCCTCGGGTTTGGCGTTCACGAAGAGCTTGATGCATGCACCTCAGCGGCTTCGCTGGGATTTATCGTGGACGGTGTGAGTGGCATCGTCAAGCCTGTTCCAGAAAAGGTCGGGCGAGTGATCGCTGCGTTCCGATGGCTGAGCAGGCGCCCCAGGGTGAACGGCAGGGCGATTGAGAAGCTGATCGGTCATGCGGTCCACTTCATGTTGCTTCGTCGGGAAATGTTGTCGTGCATGCGGAGCCTCTATGATTTTGTGCAGACCAGCTACCGCGCCAGGCGGCGACTTTGGAAGTCAGCTGCCCGTGAAGCGGGATGGGTAGCTAGTCTGTTGCAAGTTTGCCATGCTGACCTCCGGAGGGGTTGGGATGACCAGGTCACTAGTTCCGATGCCTCTTTGAGTGGAATGGCGGTCAGTTGCAGGCTTGCTGATTCAGAGGAGGTTGCACGGCTCTCGAGGCAACATGAGGGGTGGCGTTTCAAGACCAGAGATTTTTCGGCGCCCAGACAAAGAGCCTTGGGATCGGATGAGCCACTCGACCCGTTCAGCCATATTGACACAGTGAAGCCGAAAGCAGTGCTTCCAGAGGATCCTTTCGCCATTGATGCAGACTTCGCGGAGATTCCTGTATCATTCATGAATAGCTGTGATTGGCATGATTTATTCGCCGTCAGATTTCAACATGCGGAGCCCATCACGGTTCTTGAGTCCAGAGGGGTCGTTGCGGCAATTAAGCACAAGCTCAGATTGGTCAGAAACTTCAGTAGACGGCATCTTCATTTGAATGACAACTTGGCCAATGTGTTGTGCTGCGAGAAGGGACGATCGGCCTCGTTCCAAATGCTAGCTACCTGCCGCAAGCTGTGTGCGCTGCTAGTTGCAACTAACTGCAGTGTTTATCACCGCTGGATCCCCAGTGAACTAAATCCGTCAGATCATGCTTCGAGGAGATGGGAACATGAACGAAAAGGCCTCGAAGCGAGGTTCAAGCAAGAAGGTGGCCGACAACAATCCAGATCCGCAGGTTGCCAACTTGGAAGTGCCTTGTCTGAAGGCCGCCTCTCCAACATCAGGCACATCGCTGATGGATCGGCGAGCGACAGTTCGGCGAGCCTTGCAAGGAGCATCGAAGCCCGAGCGAGCCACGAAGAGACAGAAACTCATCGAGAAAAGCCAGCTGCCAAGGTTTCCGGGGCAGACGTTCTTGGAGCAAGCAGCAATCTCTGGACAAGTCGCACAGGACTATGCCCACAGGGTGGCTCAGTTTGCGAGGGCCATGATGATCCCAGATATTCATGTTCTGACCATGCCGAAGTTGGACGAGTACTTGAGCACATTTCTCAACAACATGTTTTCGGAAGGCGCCGACATTTCAGAAGGAAACAAGACCTTCGCCGCCGTGTTGGACGCCAGGCCAGGCTCTTCCCAAGCGGAACAGCTGCCGAGGTCGAGAAGATGCTTGAAGGGCTGGGTAAATCTGGATCCGGGGGCCACGCGACCACCGGTTCCATTTCAGCTGATAGCCCTGATCGTTGTCACTATGTTGCGACAAAGCATGGGCCAGGCCGCACTACTCATCTTGATGATGTTCAGTGCTTATTTGCGGCCGGGGGAAGCGCTGTCACTTTGGGCAGAGGATGTAGTGTTCCCAACCAGGACGGTGAAATCCTTTGCGATCAATCTGCATCCCCTGGATCGTCTAGAATCCAGCAAAACAGGCCTTTCAGACGAGACTGTGCTGCTGGATTCCACAGTGCTTCCCCAGCTAGGTCCTATGTTGGGGCGGTTAGCGAGACAGCGGAAAGGCAATCCTCTGTTCGACCTCGACTACGCCAAACTTCTAGCAGTATGGCATCAAGTGCTCCGCCAGCTCAATCTGCCGCAAAACTTTGCGGTTCTTTATCAGATGAGGCACTCCGGTCCCAGCCACGACCGTCTGCACCAGCTAAGGACAGCTCTGGAGGTCAAGATGCGAGGACGTTGGGCCAGCGATGCCAGCGTCAAAAGGTACGAGGCCCACAGCAAGCTCTCTCTGGAATTTCAGCGTCTCCCAGACAGCATTCAGCGTGCGTCTCTGGAAGCCGAGAAGAGCCTGCCGTCCCTGATGGCAAAGTGTTCCTTTCGCATCTAGGATCCTCAGCTCCCTGGGTTATTGAACTCTTCGCTGGTGGTGCACGGCTCTCCCACACTTGCTGGAAAGCTGGTTTCAATGCGCTAGCGGTTGATATTAACTTCAGTGCAGAATGTGATCTCCTCAGGCCTTCGGTGCAACAACGATTGTTCCGATTCCTTAAAACCCATCGCATTGCATTGGTGTGGATCGGACTGCCGTGTACAACCTGGTCCAGAGCTAGGAAGCACGATAGCCTTGGGCCACCACCTCTGCGTGACGATGCTGATGGGTTGTGGGGTCTTCCTCATCTCTCCAGAAAGGACACAGACAAGGTGCAACAAAGCAATCTCCTCTTGCAGGTATCATGTCACTTCATCCGGTACTGCTGTCAACACAATATCTGCTGGGCTCTTGAGAATCCCCGCTCGTCCCGAGTGTGGTTGACGCATTTGCTCTGCGAACTCCGTCGGCATGCACACCTGGTTGAAGTCGACTTCTGTCAATACCGGCAGCCATGGAAAAAGCCCACACGGCTCCTTTCTGGGCCTTCAGCATGGCTACAGCCGATACAGCGTACCTGCATGACACACCTTGGACGTTGCTCCGCCACAGGTCGCCGCCACATCCGCCTTGTTGGCACTGATGCCACAGGTGTCTTCATGACTTTACGCGCCCAGCCCTACCCAGCAGCTCTTTGCCACGCCATCGCTGCTTCCCTCTTGAGTGCAGTTCCTGTAACTGGTTAGGGGAGGATGGTGAGGCGATGTCCTCACGAGCCAGAGGCTCCCTAGGACAGTTTCATCTTCAGCATTGAGCTCATGTGGAGCATCGCAAAAAATGAGCTCTTGCGTTTGCCCTGGTGGGTGTTAGCCGTAGTCATGTATAGTGCGTGCACAGTAATGACAGTTGGCGAAAACCCGCTGTCTTTTCCTCTCGAGTGCTTCTTTGGGCACCTCCGCCCGCCCCAGCCTCCTGAGGCGATGTCCTCACGAGCCAGAGGCTCCCTAGGACAGTTTCATCTTCAGCATTGAGCTCATGTGGAGCATCGCAAAAAATGAGCTCTTGCGTTTGCCCTGGTGGGTGTTAGCCGTAGTCATTTGTTTGCTGTGTTTCGAGCTGAGAGTGGAGTGCAGCAGCCTGACGCCGGCTCCAGTGGGGAGCCCACCTTACCCGATCCGAATGCGCGTGAAACATGCCGTGAACATGTGAGTGAAGGTAGCTCGCGGATGGACAGTTTTTGTTGGCAGACCCTGAGAAACCTGATCCAGCAAGCAAGCGGTGGTGAACCTGTTCAGGCCCCTCTTGCGTCGTCCTTGTTAGCTGCAGCTGAGCAGATTGAAGCCTCTTTCCCTGAGGGTTCTTTCGGTTACCAGGTGGGCTGGCAGGTAATGGTTGCGTTAGAAGGCGACGCGACTGCGTGGCGAAGAGCAGCATGCTTAGCTCAACAAGTGTTGAGATGCCCGGGTATCGCGAGCGATGTTTCTGAGATCAACAAACCATTACCACAGATTTTGCAGCACTCCTCTGGCTCCCCTAGTGGTTGCCTTACCTTATCCACTGAATGTAGTCTGCCGGCCTGTACTGCGCCGTTCCGTGAGACTGGGCCTCAGTCTGTGAAGAGCGAAGTTTTTCAGAAAACAGTTGAGGTTTGCACTGGATTGAATTTTGCAGGGGCCGATGACAGGGGGGACCAACATGCCACCCCCGCAGATCTTCAGGTAGGTTTCGTGAATGTCACCAGCTTTAATGCGGCAGCTCTTAAGTGGATTGAGACCTGTGGTTGTGCAGCGGTAGGTGTGCAAGAGACGCACCTCAGCCCGGAGCAACTGCATGTGAGGCGGGGTACTTTGCAAGCGTTGCGTTGGAACACGTTTGGCGAGCCTGCGTACTTAGGAGACCAGGGGCATAGGCTAGGGGGTTTGGTCTGGGTTACGCGGAAGCATCAGGGTTTTTGGCAAAAGCATAGGTACCTGGTGGAAGGTGCCGGCTTTGAAGCAGTCGGGCTCCGAGCTGGGGGTTTGGATTACACGCTGATTGTGCTCTATTTGAAAGACTCCGAGGGCCCTACGGGGCCGAGAAACGGAGATATCCTCGCAAATTTGGCAGCGTATGTCCGTGCTTTGCCTGAGCCTTGGGTGGTAGGAGGGGATTTCAACTGCACTCCCGCAGAGCTAATGGAGCACAGCATCGTTCAGGTCATTCGCGGCAGAATTCTTGCAGTTAATGAAATAACGTGCACGCAGGGGGCCGGAGCGGAGCTTGACTTTGTCATTGTTAGCCGTGCCCTTGAAGCTTTGGCCTCAATCAGGATTGAGTGGAGTGTCCCGTGGAAGCCGCATGGAGCCCTTATCGTGACCTTTGCAGGTGCGGGGGGTGCTGACCCTCAGTGGAGAATGCAACAGTTTGCGAAACTTGTCGGTGCCCCTGTTGAGGGTGAGTGGCCTTGTGTTTCTGCGTCCAGACCGCAACTCATGTCAGCTGTGGGCGATGATCGTTTCTGTTGGTTTAGCTGGCTGGGCTAAGGCGATGGAGATTTGTAAGGGTTCGTTCCAAGGCCGTGGCCAATCTGTGCGTGCAGTTTGGGGAACTGTTGCCGAAACCCGGGTGGTTACTTTAGGCAATAACCACACAGTCTCGCCCCGAGATAGTGGGTTCTCTTGAGCCTGAGCGAAGGCCCTCGCGTGGGCCGCCTTGGACAAACCTAAGAAAAACTTTCATGAGCCAGCTTGATTTTCTTGTTGCACTTCGCTTGATTTTCTTGTGGCTTTTTGCAAACTGCCTTACGGTGCTGTTCCAGTGAGTGCGATGTCGTCCCGCATGCAGTGGTGAGTGCTCAAGCCGAGCAAAATTTTTGTCTCAGCCTCTCTAAAGGCCGTTACTTGCTTCCTAGCAGGCTCCGGGAGCTAATACCAAGGCTTTAGTTTTCTGGACTCCCCGCAACAGTCGGGGAAGTCTATGGAGAGGCGCCTTAGGCATCCGCCTCCGCCTCTTCGACGGCTGCTTCTGCTGTGGCTGTCGGAGCAATTGCCCGTGCGAGGTTGGCAGTCTGTCATTTTGCGACCGGAGACTCCACTTCAGGTCGGCCTGCCTCAGCTGCTGGGAGCCGCATCTTCTGGTGCTCACGTATTGCTTGCTCTCGGTCTGAGTTCGCTACGGGCTCTGTCAAGCGTGTCTCACGAAGTGGCACGCATCTTCTTCGAAATCAGGCTGGCTGTGCATCGTGCTGCGCCCTCTCTTGCGAGGGCTTATCACCGTCCTTGACGTTATGTCTACTGCATCCAGCTCGGCTGAACAGCCCGCTGCTGGCGCTGCTCTAACGAAAGGACCCTCTGTAGTCCCTGACCCAGCCTCCCCGCCTGGGGCCCTACCTCCCGCCCTTGCTGATGGTCCTTTAAGGGTTCAAGTTGGGGGTTGTATGGATGCTTTTGATAATCTGCTTCAAGAGCTTTCTGAGGAGGTCCAGTACCAGTTCCCTCCACAGCCTCCCGAGCATTTCTGCGACTTCCCTGAGGATTGGTGCGAGTCGGAACCGCAGGTCTCAAGCGATGTCTTCTCTAAACAGGGAGCCTCCTTGTTGTCAGACACAGGCGAAGTTTTCTTTGAAGAGAGTGCATCCGTGTTGTCGTTTTCGCCGTCACTAGGGCAGCGAGACGGAGTTGCTTCGCAGGCATTGAGTGCTGCACCAAACACTTCAGCTGGCAGGCTAAGTAGCTCGTGCAGCAAAGAGGTTGAACGCCCCGCCTTCGTGCAGGACGATGCCCTGGGATCCTTTGTTGGAGGATTGGTGAAGTCTGATGTTGCTAGGTTTGGTAATGTTGACTTGAGCCTTCAGCTGCCGTGGGAGACCGACTTTGCAAAGAGCCTGCTTGACCCAGATTGTGTTTGGGACCCTTTGCATGGCTTCAAGCAGGATTCGCAGATTCCTCCTTTGTCGAAGCTAACTCTTGCAAATCCATCCTCCAAGCAGCCTGCCAGGGAGTGTCATACTGGAGCCATCTTTGCTTGGGCTGTGTCACTTGGTGCGGCGGCTAGGGATCCTGCAGCTGAGAGAGAGCGAAAGTTCGACCAAGGGGTGTGCATGTGGAGCCGATTGGTCTTGAGATATTCAGCATGTTGCACGCTTTATGACTGTGTTTTAGATGGCCAAGGCGCAGGTGAGAACACTTTTGCTTTGATAGAGGCTGCAGTCTCAGCGGCCGTGGGAGTAAAGTCGCCACACACCATCCACAAGAGAGCGTCCTCATTTTGGGCGTTCGTTCGTTGGGTGGATGTCCATGATCCTCAGTCTGCCGAGAAGCTGCATGAGGTACAAGTGTGGAACTTTGTGCAGTTCCTTAAAGCTTCTGAGGCACCCGCATCAAAAGCCTCGTCTGTGATCAGCTCCTTCAGGTTTGCGCATTTTGTGCTGGGGTTCAAAGTCACGAGCATCATCGAGTCAAAGCGAATTTGCGGTGCCGCGGAGCAGCAACTTGTGAAGGTCAGGAAATTGAGGCAAGCCCTGGATCTTAGGGTCTCGCAGATCCTTGAGCTTCATGCGCGGCTGGAGTCCGGAGCTCTGCATTGCTTCGACAGGGCTCTCCTTGCGTCCATTTTGATCAGGCTGTATGCCAGGGCACGTCCCAGCGACTTCTTGTTCATTGAGACAGTTGAGGTTGACTGTCCGGCCAATTCAGACTACCCTTTGCTAGTCTTTGAAGTCTCTGAGCACAAGGGGGCAAGAAAAGTCCAGCTTAAAAATAAGCTTCTCCCAATCTTGGTGCCCATGATTGGGGTACATGGAAAGTGCTGGATAAACGAGGCCTTGAGCGCCTTCCTGGACGCTGGCAGAGCATTGCCGGCTGTGCGAGGTCCATTGACTCTCGCCCCTAGGGATGCCTCTGGGACTGCCCCCTCTGCGCGGTCTGTCACTTCTGCTGAGGTGGGCCGTGCCTTGCGTGCATTCTTGGGCGAGCCTGAAGAAATCATTGATGCTTCAGTGCCGAGAGTTACCGCATACTCTCTTCGTGGCACTTGCTTAGGTTGGGGAAGTAAGTTTGGTTTTGACGAGGACCTCAAAAGTATACTCGGCAGGCATGCTTCATCGGTCAAGACTACTCAGGCCATCTACAGCAGAGAGCTTGCAGCTGCCCCAGTGCGGAAATTGCAGGACTTGATCAGAGAAATCGTGGCCGGCCGGTTCATGCCCGACAGCAGTCGGTCGAGTTACTTCCCAAAGACGCCTCGCGCTCAGGAAGCTGGGAAAGCCATCGCATGCTCGGACAGTTCGGCCCCTGGAACAGGTGCGGTCAAGATCGAAGTGCTTAGTAGCGACGAATCTGGTTCGGAGCCGGGAGATTCGCCTGATAGCGAGTCCTCTGGCTCGACTTCGAGTTCCTCGAGCTCTTCTGTAGAAGCTGCTGCTCAGCCCATTGTGCGACGGTGGAAGAGAGCCAAAGTGGAGTCTACTGACCAGGTGTGGTACGTTCACACCGGTAGTGGAGTTTTGCATCTGCTCGCGAGTCCTGAGGAGGCTCCGATGTTGCTCGCATGTGGGCGACCGGTGAATAAGAATTACCGGGAGGCTACGAGAGAGGAAGTATCTCGTGGGACAGAGTGCCGGACATGCAGGCGAAATGTTTGACGTGGATCCAGGCTGAAGTCGGCCCCAAAGAAAGAAAAAGGATGCGAAAGGAGCGAAGGTGCTCCGAGCGTATGTGCTCCGAAAGTCGATGCGACTTCTTGGGGGTGTGCATGTTGTCACCTTGTGATGTCCCGTTCGAGCCTTGCTTGAGTCAGTGTGTGCAGGTTTGGCTAGCCTCTTGAGTTGAGGTATGAGCGAATGTGCTCGGAGCGCATGTGCTCCAAAAGTCGATACGACTTCTTGGGGGTGTGCATGTTTTCACCTTGCTGCTGACAATACTTGAGCTTTGATTGAGTCAGTGTGTGCAGGCTTGGCTACTCTTTTGAGCTGAGGTGGATCGGTTTCCGCTAAAGCTTTTGGGCTCAGTATGACCTCTTTGGTAGAGAGCACCCATCACTTCACCTCGAGATGCACCGAGGTCGGTCTTAGCCGGGATACGCTCCGTGCTTTTGCAGCTCATGGAATCGACACTTTGAGTAAGTTGGCTTACTCGTGCGGTCAACCGGGGGCGCCGTTGCCTCAATCGGACTTTGATGACTTCATTGCTACCGTGATACCTGCAGCTCTCTTGGGCGAGAAAGGAAGTGTGAAGAGGCTCATCTTTGAGAGTCAGGCGTTACTGCTCACTGATCTGCGTGAACAAGTTACGCAGCCCGACAAGTGGGCTACCAAAAATGTGCCGACCGTCGAACGGCAGAAGAGAATGGAGGCTGTGAAAGCCAGCATCCCAGGAGTGTTGGTTGAAGGGTCCTTGGAGCCATCGCATGGGCTCCTCAATGCTGCTTGCCGCATGGAACGTGAAGGCCAACTGCGCTACATTGCACCTGAGCAGTGTGGCACAAGAATGTATGAAATCCAGAACGTCAAGGCACAGAGCAAGGTTCTTTCTTTGGAAGAGGGCAAGCTTGCGATTTCAGAAGAAAAGGATTTGCCTGAGGTCACTTGTGGGTCCGCCTTGTTGCTACAAGAGGCTTTGAAAAGGCGGGGGATCGCCCTTCAGTTTGCGGGTGTGGCTTCCTTCCTCGCTCACGAGAAGTATGTATTGAAGCTCTTCGGCCACATGGGTCGAGAGCCCCCTCCGGGGCACGCGAGAACCAGTGTGCACCAGCTCCTCACTGCTGACCGCCAGGTTTGGACAAAGTTGATCGAGGACGAGGTTAGCCCAAGGCGCAGCCCGGCTGGCACCTACCCCGTGGACGATGCACTGTTACCCGCGTTGCAATCGTATGATGTCACTGTTGCGCTGCTCCCCAGGGAATCCTCTAAGGATGGTAAAAAGCGTTTTGCTCCGACCAAGAAGCATCAGAATGAGCGTGAACCGAAGGTTGGCAAAGGTGATGGAGGCAAGGGTCCTGGCAGAGGCAAGGGCAAGCGCCCAACATGGCAGCCAAGTGTGCCGGAGGCTATACGCAAACTCGGCGGGAGTGCCCAAACTCCGGACAAGAAGCGCATTTGTTTCTCCAGGAATCTGCCTTGTGGTTGCACCCTTGACCCGTGCCCGAAAGGTCTTCATGTTTGCGCACTGTGCTTCTCCCCCGATCATAGCATCCAGGAGTGTCCACAGCGCAAAAAGTGACATCCGAGCCACACTGCGGATGTGCCTATGGTGACCGATGACGGAGAGGGCATCGCAGCAACAATTGCTGCAACCTCGACTGGAGGTCAAGACTACCCATTGCATGATTGCAGCTTGGTTGCACCGACCGGGTCAAAACTCGTTGTGTCAGAGCACCCAGCTGAAAAATTTTCTGCAAAATGTGAGCCTCCTGTGCTGGCTGACATCTTGAACTTAATTACACTTTTGGAGTCTGAGAAACCTTCACGAGGTCAATCCTCTGAGAACACCTTTTCTTGGACCTCAGGCGCATACGCTAAAGGTCCTTTGCGAGGGCTTCGGAAACATGCTTCTGTTTTCCCCGCTTGTACGCGCATGCTTTGCAGGCTTGTGCTCCAAGCTTTTCCGGAGGCCGATTTTGGCGCGGTTGCAGTTTTTAAGAATTTGCGAACACCTCTACATGTCGACATTAACAACTCTCCGGGATCGGTAAATTACTTGATTCCTGTGTCCTCTTTCACAGGTGGCGAGGTGTGGCAAGAAGGACAGGGATCCGTTGTTGTGCACGATGAGTTGGGCCATCCACTCATGGGCTCGCTCCTTCCGGTTGCAGACGGGCCCTGTGTCGTAGATCCGCGGCGCACCCATTGTACCATGCCGTGGGTTGGTGAGCGTGTGCTTCTCGTTGCATTTAAGCCTGCGCATACTCGTGATTTGTCCATAGCCTTCAAACAGCAGCTCCTGAGCTTAGGTTTTCCCAGCCGGGCATTAGGTTTGTGTGCGTCGGAGGCAAATTTGTTGCCTCCATCACCGCCTCTGCCAGAGGCTAGCTTGCTGCCGATGAGACCGGTTCTTCCGAACTCCGATGTCGTTTGGAATGACCCCCTTGTTATCGAGCTTTTCGCGGGCAACGGCCGTGTCACTGCTTGCCTCAAGCAGTTGGGACTTTCGGCTGCTGGGGTTGACCGTAATCCTAGTAAGTCCGTCTCCTTTTGTCTACCGGCGGACCTCTCCTCGGCTTGAGGCCAAAAGCTGTGCAAGGAGTGGCTCGCTTCTCCTAGATTGGCCGGCATTTTTGCTACGCCCCCAGCCTTCACCGCTGCCAATGCTGATGCAATCACATTCTTGTTGCATGTGTTGTCCACAGCCTTGACCAATGGAGTCCTTTGTGCCATAGCGAACCCTCGACAAAGTCGCTTCTGGCAAAATCCTCAGTGGAGGGCTGTTGCCTCCTCTTTTCGTTTTCTTGCCAGCCAGGAGTGTACCTTCGGTGGCAGACATGATGATCACACCGTTTTCGCTGTGTCGGATAGTGGCTTTGACAAGTTGGCTCGTTCCTGCCCCGGCCCTCCGTGCCAAGCCTTGAATCGCTGCCCCGATCCTGGCACCGGTTACCCTGCTCACCTTGCAATGCAAGTAGCATGCTGCTTCGCTGAAGTGTTCGTCAAGAGAGGTTGGCAACCGCCTAGCCAGTGTTTCGATGCATTCGACCCTCGACTTCAAGTGCCGATGTCACGCGCTCTAGCAGGTGCTCAGCCTCCGGCTAGCAAGATTCCTCCGCTCGTCCCGGAACATAAGCAGGTGGTCGTGCTCCGCCACCCGCCTGGCCTCCAACTACCGTGCCAGCCCATGCAGCGTCTTACTACAGATTGGCTCGTGCCTCAGGGGTGCCATGCACCCTGCGCCTGCATTCCTGCGAAATCCCAGCTTCTCAGGCACGTGCCGATAGGTCAAAGTGGGGGCGACGAGACTGTGAAAGTAGGTTTGTGGGAAATGGCTTGGGGAATTCCTTGGGACCCAGAAGAGTTTATGAAGACGGCCAATGAGTCCAGCCATCCTCGGACCATTGGATCTGTGCTCCCTCAGCCACTTAAGGATTCTCTTGATGCATTGGACGAGAAGAATGACGCCGAAGTAACCGAGCTTAGAGCTAGGGTTATTAAGGAGTGGGTTCACCTGTCGGTTTCCCTTGCTCAGGATGAAGCAAAGTTGAAAGCAAGCATGCACCCTGACGTCCGTGCCATCACCGAACCAAAACGCATTTTGCTGTGGGAGTCTCTGATGGCGAAGTACGCTTATCCTGACCCTGGAGTGTCCAGTCTCCTCAAGGAAGGGATTCCCTTAGTGGGTCACGCGCCCATCTCGGGCGTCTTTAAGCCGAAGTTCAAACCTATGCAAGCCACGCCGGAGCAAGTGCGCGAAGATTTTCATGATTTTCGGAAAAAGGTCCATAAGTCCCTTAAGCCCCAGGAGCACTCCCTAATGTCCGAAGTTTTTGAAAAAACTGAGAAGGAGCTAGAGGCGGGCTGGATCATTGGCCCTCTTAGCGAATCCAACTTGTGCTCAGGAACTTTGGTGAGCAGGCGGTTCGGATTGCGGCAAGGCCCGAAGGTCAGGTGCATTGACAACTTGACTTCGTCTGGGGTGAACTTAGCAGTGCAGGCTTATGAAGCTCCCCAACCGCAGTCCACTGATGTGGTGGCTTCCACGTGCCAGCGTCTTCTTAGGTACATCAAAAGGAAAGTAGGCAAGGCCGTCTTCAACCTCCTGGGAAAAGCTTTTGACCTTACCGCTGCCTATAGGCAGCTACCGGTGCACCCGGGCAGCGAGTGGGCTTCATACATTTGCTTGATCCATCCGAAGACTCATGAGAGAGTGTACTTCCGCATGAGGGCGATGCCTTTCGGCTCTTCCATGGCGGTGTATAGTTTCTTGAGAATCAGCCACTCGCTCTGGTTCTTAGGAACCAAAGCCCTGCTTCTGCCCTGGTCGTCGTTTTTCGATGACTATATAACATTTGCCACTTCCGGCCAAGCTCTGTCGGCGGAATCGTCTGTCACTGCAATGTTCAAGTTACTTGGATGGGCCTTCGCTGAGTCCGGTGACAAGTCGCATGACTTTGCAAAATGCTTCACTGCATTGGGAATAGTTGCTGACCTGAGTAAGGTTTGCGACGGAGTGATTTACTTTAAGAATACGGAAAGGCGTATTGAGGAAATCAAATCCTTTGTGCAAAAAGTGTTGGAGGACGGCCGCCTTCCACATCATGAAGCGCTTCGCCTCAGAGGGAGGTGTCAGTTTGCAGATTCGCAAATCTTCGGCCGCACTGGGAAGAAGTGTCTAGGTTTGATCACTGCACACGCCTATGGTCTCGAGGAGGCTATCAGTCACGAGCTTCGTGTGTCGCTTGAAAGGTTTCTGCAAAGGCTTGAGTGCGTTGCACCGCGACTTATCAAGATCCTTGAAGGCGGGTTCTGGAAGGTGTACACGGATGCATCCTACGAGCCGGGTACAACCACGAGTTACTGTGGAATAGGCGGTGTGTTGGTTGATCCTAGTGGTGTGCCTAGAAAGTTCTTTTCTGCTGTTTTGGACGATTCCCAAAAGATTTTCTTAGGCGAATCCAAGTCAGCCCAGATCATTTTTCAAGCAGAATTGCTGGCGCTCACAATCGCTATGGATGCTTGGTCACACGACTTTAAAGGCTGCCCTGTAATTTTCTTCGTGGACAATAACGGGGTTCGTGACATCACCATTTCGGGGCATGCGAAAGCGTCGATAGCCAGGCGACTATTGGAGATTTTCTTGCAATTGGAGCATGATGCTTCAGTCGTGCCTTGGTACGCGAGGGTACCCTCACCATCGAACCCCGCTGATGAACCTTCGCGGATCGAATGCAAAAGCCTGTGTCTCTTGGGCGTTCATCTTGATAGATCGCTTGTGGGCGGCCTCATCACAGCTTGCTTGAAGAAGGTGCAGGGACTCCGGTGAGTCTGCAATCGCCGGATAAAGCGCAAGGATTTCTTGAATGGGTTAAGTTGGGGTGTAAGCCTGCAGGGCCCCTCCTAGAGGGCTGCAACTCCCTGCGTGTAGTTTGTCCAGACCAATGCCAGCCTGGCATGTAGTTAGCGAACTCAGTGCCGACACGGCACATGCAGAATCAGACTTCCCAGAGTCACCGAAGGAAAAGTCGTCAGCAGTGCGATCCACAGTGTGAGTGCTTCAGTACATGCAGTCATGTCATTCTTGATGCACAAGTTCTTTCAAGAGTTTTTACTGCTTGAGTAAGTTTGCGCTTTAAGTTTTACTGCTACTGTTTGGTCCAAGTCGTTCGGCTCGAGAGAACCACACAGTCTCGCCCCGAGATAGTGGGTTCTCTTGAGCCTGAGCGAAGGCCCTCGCGTGGGCCGCCTTGGACAAACCTAAGAAAAACTTTCATGAGCCAGCTTGATTTTCTTGTTGCACTTCGCTTGATTTTCTTGTGGCTTTTTGCAAACTGCCTTACGGTGCTGTTCCAGTGAGTGCGATGCCGTCCCGCATGCAGTGGTGAGTGCTCAAGCCGAGCAAAATTTTTGTCCCACCCGCCCACCCTGACACTGGCGTGGTGCTTCCTGAGGGGTGTAAGCCTGCAGGGCCCCTCCTAGAGGGCTGCAACTCCCTGCGTGTAGTTTGTCCAGACCAATGCCAGCCTGGCATGTAGTTAGCGAACTCAGTGCCGACACGGCACATGCAGAATCAGACTTCCCAGAGTCACCGAAGGAAAAGTCGTCAGCAGTGCGATCCACAGTGTGAGTGCTTCAGTACATGCAGTCATGTCATTCTTGATGCACAAGTTCTTTCAAGAGTTTTTACTGCTTGAGTAAGTTTGCGCTTTAAGTTTTACTGCTACTGTTTGGTCCAAGTCGTTCGGCTCGAGAGAAGACCTTGGCAGGTTGGTGGGGCAGGATGCGCAAGTGTATTGCTCGACTCCAGGCGGGTTTGAAGGGTGATCTTTGGCACAAGACAAGGGGTAATGCACAGCAGGCGGATGTTTGGCTGGACGCAGGCAATTGGAAGGAAGAGGCCGCCCCCATGCTTTCCACTGGCAGTGTGCTGAGGGTCTCCAGCGGCTTCTGGATGAAGCCAAGGTGCGTGAGTCTGATGCGCAGGTTGCACAGGGCAGGCAAACCTTGCAAGATTTCAAGCAGTGGATGCAGGCAGGGACGCTGCGAGGTATGCGGCCTTTGTTTCGGGCTTTGTCCAAAGCCGAGTGTGTTTACGAAAGACCCTTCCTAGACAAGCCGGTCAATGAAAGGTCCAAGCTGCGACGGCAGCAGTGGGTTGACATCTGGGGGGAGGCCGTTCGGGGTTTTGCCATTAGCAGCGAACTTCGTGCGAGAGCGCGGGCCTGCCCGTTGGCGCCCATCACAGGCGCTGAGATCTCTGCAATTGTGCACAAGGCCGCGGACAAAGCAGGGGGTTTGGATGGCCTCACTTACGCTGGCATGCGTGGGCTCCCTTCACAGGCTTACGATGAGCTGGCCTCGATTTTGACCGCGGCAGAGAGGGCCTTGCAGGCCCCGATACATTGGACGCAGAATCAGGTTTGTATGACTCCGAAGAAACCGGAGATTGAACGACCCATTACTCTAACCTCAGTGTCTTATCGGGTTTGGTGTTGCAGTCGGCGGCCTGCGATACAACAGTGGTTGAAACAGACCCAAGCCAGCACGCATTGGGACCGTGCCACGCCGGGCAATACTTGTCTGCAGGTGGCAATACATCGGCTTCTCAAAGGCGAGGTTAGTCGACACCAAGGGAAGCATATGATCTGTATCTTGCTTGATCTTGAAACCTTCTATGACCTGGTGGATTTGCAGGTTCTTGAGCGTAGACTGCTCGATGATCAATTTCCTCCGGTTGTGGCGGCCCTGGCTTTGCAAACTTATGCAGGCGCGAGACACATAGTCAGTGAAGACATTCTGAGTGAGCACATTCAGCCGCTGCGGGGTATCCTCGCCGGCTGTCCCTTCGCAACTGTCATGGCACGGGTTTTTCTCAAGCCTCTCCTATGTGCCTTTGAATCCAGTGCTGGGCTCAAAGGCCTTGACACGTGGGTGGACGACATAGGAGCTGACTTTGAAGCCAGAACCCCAGCTTTGGTGGCCAGGCAGGCTTTGGACGGTTATCGTGAGCTCCATCGCCAGTTAATCGAGAGTGGTTTAAAGATTTCCCAGAGGAAAACTGGTTTCTTGGCGAGCACCAAGGAGGCGCGGAAAGCTTTGCAGACCCTGCTTCAGCCATCTGATCCACGCATCTTTCACAGCATGAGGGATCTAGGAGTCGACTGCACTTTGGGGCGGGTCAGAAGGGTAACTGTACAACGAGGCCGGGTTGGCAAAGGCAGTGCGAGATCCAAGAAGCTCACTAAGTTAAGAGTACCTGGAGTGTCGTGTCGCATCCGGTTGTTCCGGGGCAGCGTTTGCCCGGCTTTGCTCTGGGGACATCAGGCGCAAGGTTTCCCACCGACACGTATTCTTTGGCTTCGGAGAGCTGTGGCACAAAAGGTCGGTTTGCACAAATTGGGAAGCCATGAAGTTGCGTTGTCCGCGGTGGGGCATCGAGTCAGTGATCCTTGGGGCGATGTTGTAGTGCAACAGCTCCAATCTTGGTTCCAAGCCTTGGACAGGTGGGGCCCAGACACAGCTCCCATCCAGAGAGCGTGGGAGCAACTGGCTGCGGCTTTCAAGGCAGGTGAGTGTGACTGGCACAAGGTCAAAGGTCCCCTCGCAGCCACCGTTGGCCACATGACAGGGCTGGGTTGGGTGGTCAGTGATGCCTTTCACTGGCATAGGCCAGGGCGTTCAGGCAGTTATGATGTCAAAAATCCGGTTGACCGAGCCCATGTGTTGCAGGCGGTGAGGGAGGATGTCCGCAGTGTGAGCAGCAGAGCGATTGCCAAGCATGCGGAGAGTCCTGCGCTAACTGACGGCCTTGATTGGGTCATAGGCAGGCGGTTTCAGGCGGGGCTCAAAGCCAAAGGCGACACCCTAAAACAGGCAGGACTGTCTGCGTTGTGGCAAGGCAGCTTAGTGCATTGCAACAACAGCCCGGTTAAGCTCTGCCCGAAGTGCAACTCTCCAGCCACATGGAGGCATATCCTTCTAGATTGCAGCTGGTGGGATGACAAAGGCTGTGCTTTACCGGGGTGGTACAAGCCTGGCATGCATTTGGGTGCAAAGCAAGCTTGGGTTAGGGGTTTGCGTAGTGTCTCTCATCCCACTCAGGTTGAACTTTGCGAGTGCACTGGTTTGTGGAGTAGCGAAAACTGCATTGATGGCACAAACCTCACCTTCAGCACTGATGCTAGCGGAGGACCTTTCACTAAAGATCCTAGGCTTAGGACTGTCGGTGTTAGTGTTGTGGCCTTTGCGTGGGTGGACCAGAAACCAGTCGAGATTGCATCCATCAGCGCGACCTTGCCAGGCCAGCAGACTGTGTTTCGAGGGGAGCTTTTCGCTGCTCTGCTTCTCTTACGACACGTTTCCGCTGGCGGATAACTCTTTCCACCTAAACTCCAAGGTTGTTTTATTTGAGGGAAATCCTTCGCCCTCAAAATGGCGACAACCGCGAACCGTTTAATTGCATGATTTCAATCTTTTAAATTTGTGTGAAATCATGATTTTATCACACAAACGTTTTTATACCTGTCTGGTCTTTGCATGCAGTTCTTTTCACGCATGTCTCAGTTCCGAATGTTTAATGCACCGGCAGTTTGTAGCTCAAGTGGCTTTGGGAGCCACAGAGAAAATTTTTTGTAGCGGGGGAGCCGGTGTGCAGTCTTAGTACCCTCGGGGAAAAGTCTGTGTGCTGGCCGGTGTGTCCTAGGCCCGCTGCATGCGCCAACAGGAGCTGTGGAACGTTGATCTTGATTCCTCTGGTCGCTCCGGCAGTCGCTCTCCATCAACAGTGAGCCTGGTTAGTCGGCACGTGCATCAACTCGATTTGCAGCTGCGCACCCTTAGTGCCCACGTGACAGCCTGTGAGCGCCGTATTCGCGAGGTGGAATATCAGCTTGCCGAGCTCCAGCAAGTGCGCGAACCGCAGAGTGCCTCCTTTTGGGATTCCTTCAGGGCTTGCTTTTCTCGTTCCTAAAATGAGTGACGCTTGTACCGAGTCCCAACGGGCATTCTTGGAAAATTTGCAAGAGAGCTTGCGTGCTTCTCGTGAGATTCAGCAGCCTGTTGCTGGCCCGCCTCCGTGGTCGCAGGCTCAGGTGCGCCGGCCCCCAGTTTTCCGCACGAGAGAGACCGCTCTCGTTCCAGATCCAGGAGCCCGCCACGGCGTGCTCCGTCAGGGGGCTCTCTTCTTGCTCAGGTTCTTCGTGAGGCTGCCACTGCCCTTGAACAGCAGGTTCCAGCTTCTGAGTTCAGGCTTTTGCAATATCGGGTCTCTTCTGCTGAGGGCCGCTTGCAGCATTTGCTCCTGGAGGATGAAGGTGCGGTCCGCCGCCTTGGTGAGGACCCTTCCTACACAAGTGCGTTCTTCTTGCTCAGCAGTGCAATCCAGAGTTTGACTCAGGGGCTCGAGCAGCAGGCTTCGCGCATTGCTGTTCTCGAGGCTGCGGTGCTAGCCCTTCGCGGCGCTGACCCTAATCCCTAACCTACCTCAGCCGATGCCCTTGCTTTCCGGCGGACCCCCAACCCTGAATCGTGCAACGCGGCCTCCTGAAGGTCGCCTCTTTTCCAGGACTCCGCTACAATTTTGAGCTCAGGAGGACATCGTGCTAGAAAGCTCAGCGCTGTGCCCCGCAGTCTTGCGTGTTGCCTTGATTGCACATGTTGCAAGCCTTCGAAAACTTGGCTGAGCTTCGTCATGCAAGTTTTGTTTCAAGCTGTTGACCCAGGCTTTCTTCTGCCATGGAATCCTTTGCGGCCGATTCCTGTGAATTAGGGGGTTCTACGGCCCAGGAACCTCCGCAGGAAGCCCCGGCTGAAGGAGTCCCTATTCAG